CAGTTTCTCCTTATTTCTCCCTGAAATCTCTCACTAATTCCCCCTGATGACAGATCAGTTTCACTTCTTTCCAAGTTATACACTTCCCTTTCTTCGAGCGTGTAGCTACTTTTCACTTCCGTCTTAGAATTTTACTCAAGTGTTGTTCCCTTGTGGTTTTTCAACACTTCCTGCTACATCTGAGGTGTTTTTTATTTTCTTATTTCTAACCAGAAACTGGGATTTCAACATCCCGTGCATCTATTGACTGAGTCACTGTGGGCAAAGACCAAACAGAAAAAAAGTCCAGGCAGATATAAACATTTATTCTTCGTTAAAAAAAAGGAACATATTGTGAAACGTGGTGGATTTTGTATTCAGGGAATACCAAAACTAGTTTCATAGAGAAAAATCTGAAAAATACAATTTTCAACAGTCAGACAAAGAAATGGGAAAATCTAAATAACATTTTAGTTCTGATACAGCAACGGTGGTTTCAGTGGTAGTCACACAACTAAACCCCCTTTATCAAGATATGGGGACCACATTTGTTGAGTGAGTATATTTGTTAAGTGGCAGTGAACACCAATGCTGGGTGGACGTCTAAATTAACAGAAAAGTATTTTTACATATACTTTATATCTATATAATTTCGCACAAACCTCTGAATAACAAGGTAAAGTGAGGTGAGGAAAGTAAGGAGATGTGGTAACAAAGCTCGCAGCTCAGTGAAACAATGTGGTGTTAGAAAATACAGATTAAATATATTTTATACGTTTCTAGCTAATAATCTGTTAAATACCATTGTATTTTTTAATACACATTTTAATTAATTTTAAGTCCATTTTCTGTTCCAAATGTACATTTCCATTCTCTTCTCGTGCAATTTCTGTCTTGTACTGAGATATTAATAGAGAGAAAAATCAAGATGGCAGAATAACTAAAAAGCATGGAAAACTCACATTTGGTACAAACTCACTAAAACACACTCAAGCCCTGACGTTGCTCACAAACACTACAACACTCCTTAAAAATATATAGATAGGCATATACTGTGGAATAACACTGCATATTGTTACTGTACTGTATAGCAGATACAATTACTTATAAGATACAAAACTTAAGCTTCAAGATCAACAAAGCATAGTACACGATCCTCTCTGCCTACAACACCTCTAACATCTGATTTCCTTTTGTTTGTCTCAATCTGTAAACATGAAAAAGGTTAAATACATCGACTTTAATGGAAGACACTGCAGAACCCTTTTAGCAGTCCAGTTTCATTAACCAGGAGTGAAAACAAAAGCTAACTGAATTCATACTTTTTCTAGTTTCTCCTTCACTTTCCATGTGTTTCCTCTGGAGATAAACAACACTTAGGCTCCATTAGGAGTTTCTGTGGTTGGCAAACAACAACACCCAATAGAAAAACTGTTAGCCCTCATGTACAGTAGGGATGGGGGGGGGGGGGGGGGGGTTCTCATATTAGCATTGACCTTCTCGGTTAACACCGGCACAGGGAGAGGGGAACAATGCAGGGGAGAATAACAGAAACTAACAAGGCAGGGGTCCTTCTCTGTGCAATGTTATCACACGTAGTTAGACGGTGAAGACCCAGCAGACTGCAGCTAACTCCTATTAATCTCCATTTATATTAAAAACTATGGCTGGCTCTAAACAATAACAAATACAAATGACAGTCTCATGCTTTACAGGCAGAGAGAAGATTTCTGTGGCTAATTCAAGCCACCTTGGCTATTGACTTATAATGCTTATTTATGAAGCTGGATCATCTATCAGTGTGTGAGAAGCTTGTCATTCTGTTAACTGATAATCAATCAATGATTGAGACAGTTTGATGTCAGGGGAACAGGCTCACCTTTTCTATGTTCCTACTGATGAAGGTATTTGTAAGCTTTTTAACAGACATGGGCTAAACTATCTTGTGAAATGTCTAAAAGTTTATCAAAATAAAATCAGGCCTTAAGCAGCATGCTTATGTGTCATTTGTTAATAATAGCAATTAGAGCAGGAGCTGTGAATTCCACTTCCTTAATAAGGATTTCTTGTCTAAGTATCCCAAAAGATCCATATTATTTGGTGTTGATTTTTTGTTAAATTGTTTGGTTGTTGTTAGTCACCGTGTTCAACTTCCCTTTTTACACAAATTAATTGATCATAATTTATAACGAGCGTAAATGAGACGTGTTTTTAGTAGTAAAACAGCTGAACATGAATAAAAGTGTGAACAGGCATCAAATTAATCATACTCTGTATTAAGAATGAAGTTACTAATAATAAATAGCCAATTTATATTTATGTGCATTTTCACTTTCAAGGTTATTCCCTCCGTTTTCTTTGATAACTACTAAATTAGATCCAGAAACATTTAATTTGGACATCATTGATTTTTTTATCCCAATCATATGGTGCAAAAGTGCAAAATAATGTACATGTTTTTTTGTGTGGAAAGTGTGCAATTTTGAAATGTTAAAATTGTAATCCTAAATCAGTAACATGACTTAGGGGAATTGCATCCATAGCACCTACATATGAACATTGACTTGCCTGTGGGGCCCATTGTGTGTTCCCAATAAACTTTATGCATGGTCACACATGTCCCTGACCAGCTTAAAAAGTGTCTTAAATTACGCATCAATCCATGTACCTTTACACTTACATTGACATTTTATTAACGCGTGTGATTTGGCCTTGTGTGAAACAAAATGAGGTTTTACTAGAGTAATGTACCACTATCTCTGGTTTATACTGCTTACTGAAACTCCCCATGGGCGTTTTACCTCTCTGTCAGTGGACTCAGTTTATGGGTCACCCCCCATGGATGAAATCTGTGGCAGAAGTGAGCATGTGAAGTAATGTTTGTCATTGTGCTGCATCAAAACCCTCCACAATCCATCCGAGAAAGGTTTTCTATGTGAGTGTAAGTTTAGAAAGCAGCAGAGGTCAGACATCGGTGCTGTAGGAGCGTGGAGGTGGTGGAGGGGGAGGAAACTCGTCCGTGGGACTGTAGTAGCTCACAGGCGAGGAGCCCTGTTGGTGGGCGGTCAGCGGCAGAGAAACAGATGGGTTCTCGTAGTATGTGTGGAAGCCCAGACGCTCCCCCCCGTTACGCAGGCTGTTAGAGAGTCCAGAGCGCAGGGTGTAGGGGGAACAGGTGGGGCAGTGGTTGTGGTGAGTTCCCGTCTCCAGCTGATCCAGAGACACCGGGGTGATGGCGGCCCCGTCCATGGCGAGGGCGTTGCAGGCATTGCAGGGGAAATGAGAGAGAGGGTCCGCTCCCGCCACAGAGCCCACGTCCACCTCAGAACCATTCTTCTTACAGCAGTAATACTGCAGAGGAGAGAGGAGGATTAAGGCTGGAATCCCTGCTGTGTTCCTCAACCACAACACATTTCTCATGACGAAATGCTGACCACATTATTTAAAGGTCATCTGTGGATAAAGATTTATACTGAACAGTCCTGCTTCTAAATGACTAAAGCACACACACACACGCAGGGATACCTGGAGTCTACAGTAACAGAGCACTGCTACGATGCACAGCAGTATCACTCCGGCGAGAATTCCTCCGGATATAACGATAGTTCCCGCTGACATTCGACCAGCTCTCCATCAAACCCTTCAGAGGCAAGCAGTAAAAGGGCGGGAAATAAATGTGAATCAGATTATTAGACTTCAGGATTTTGATGGTGCAGGTCGAGATTCAACTCAATTTTACTGCAGAATAATCTGCAAACAACAGGTTTCTATAATGCCCGCAAAGATATGTATGTAGGCTGAATAAGTCTGATGTAACCTCCTCTGATGAAACATGTTGTAAGTACAGTAGATGGTTCTCATGCAGCAGTTATCAGATGGCTCAAGGCCTCGGGATGGACGATAAATGAAAGTGGAAAACAACCGTGAACCTACAAAACAGCTTCAGTGATCTCTGACACAGTCTTTGAAACTCTCCTCCACCCATCCATGATGTGGTGTTTTCATGATGACAGAGAGATATGATGGGGTGGCGCAACCATTTCTATTATCATATCATCCAATCATGATTATGCTTGCTGATAGACGGCTTGGCTCAGCGTCTGAGAAATCCGAGAACAATAAAAACGTAGCATTCTGCAAGCAAATCAGCTCAAGTTACAACAATGTATACTAAAGAGAACATGTTAGGCTCATATGTGTATGTTGTGACTCTGCTATGATATTTCTACATGCTTTATTGCTCTCATACTGCCTGTGCTGCAGCACCTCTTTTCACCCTCTGTCAGAAACCAGAGCCAAGTCTGCTCTGATTGGTTAGCTGGCCGGTGGTATCACACCCTTCTTTTTATCCTTATGGCTAACATATTTTGTTATTATTACATGAGCTTAGTGTAACAGCCATTTGACATGTAGTAGTATCAGTAACAGCTGATCTCGATGATAAGATGCACACTTACATTAGAAGACAGCGGGAGGTGCAGAGATGGAGGAGTGTGAGAAGATAGGAAACCATGTCAGCCTGAGCGGTGTTCCTCTCATAACATCCTCTCACTGGAACCCCGGTAGGAAAAGAAGAAGCTTCTGTCAAGAGAGAAGTAAAGAAGTAAAGTCAAAGTCAACTTCATTGTCAATCTTTCAGTTTTTGTGTACAGACAGAGAGATCAAAATACCGTTTCCCACAATCCTGAATACAAATATATATAAACATATGTATACAAATATGTATATCCTATAGATACACAATCAGCATTTATACATATGCACACATTAAGACATACATACAAGCACAACAATCAATATATACAAAATAACAGTCACTTCAATATCTTTGGTTTAAAGGGCTGCTGATTATTTTCATACAGACAAATCATTCCTTTACAGAAACTGTACTATCCCTTTTATTTGATATAAACCCAGTATGTCATTGATCTTACTTTGATTTCAGCTAAAACGCTCATAAAAAGTGAAGAATAACCAGTGATTCAATCCATTGGCTGTCAGCTTTAATTAAGAGACATACTTCAAACTGCTTATTGCTTTTGATCAATGGTCTTAAATCCCAGAAGCATTCAATTTGTTAGGATATATGAAAGAGCTGAGCAGGATTCTCACACTTAAAGGAGCATGACCTATCATTCAAAATGCACTTTTGTACGTCTTTTATACATGAATAAGTGTTCCCGGTGTTCCAGGGAACTCACCAAGTGTCAGAAAACACAACCCTCTCTATTTTCCTCCATACCCAGATCTCTTAAAAAGGGGCTGCAACGGATCTGATACAGACTGATCCAGATTTGAACACTTCTGTGACGTCACAGAAGTGGCGCTACGGCTATTGGGCCAACTCCACCAATCAGGAGGAGACAGCCACGGATATTGCCGTTCGAAAGCGCTGGAGACGCTGTAGTACATATGCCAGGCCTGTAGATGGTGCTGTTCTCACAAATGCATGATCTGTTTGGTATTTTGAAAAATAAAAAGTATAAATATGCCTTATATAGGTATGGTCCTACACTATATTATTCAAATATAGCATGATAGGTCCACTTTAAGAAGCTGGAACCATACTAATAACCTCATAAAATGTTACATCCAGGGTTTCATACGGTATGGAATCTGGTAATACAACGAAATCGATCCATATAGGCTTCAATTATACATCATAAATTCACTAAAAGAATCTTAAAAGCAGCTGCAAAGTGTGACTAAATTCCATTTTGGATGGCAAACAGACAGTCAGGACGTGGATGGATTAGCATGCTGAATGCAGCAGCAGCTACTGTGCACACTCGCCATATGGCCGGTATAATGTGTGCATATGTGCAGCGCATATTCAGCATACTGAATCTGGTTAGTACGTGCATCTGCTGCCATTTGTTGTTGACTGTGACAGATTCAAAAGCAGCTTTCAAAGTTGCATGGATAATTATCATCACTTGATCTCTTAGATTCTATACGGATAGGGCAATTAAACAAAACAGTAAAGATGGGTTTACTCAAACGTACATGCAACTTGTGTTGATGAGTAGTGAGAACATAAGATGACAGACTTAGCTTGGATACTAAGCCAGAGTAAATACAAGAAAAGATGCCTGCAGAAACAATGTTTAGGATCCTTTCATTCTGCCAGTGTTTGCTGTGCATCACAGGTAAATAGCTCTTATTGGCAGAGTCACACAGGAGCAGAAACGGTGTAAATGAAACAAAGTCAACCGTCTGCAAACATAATTATCTCTATTGCACTCAGCAAATGTAGTGTCTAGCCTCAAATAGACCCTATCAACAGGTCTATCTCACAGAAAGCAATACATTAGCAGTGTGACAGAAAATACGTGTGCCTTGAATAAACCCTCCACCAGAATATGAATGCACCAGGAGAGAAATACCACATATATCAGTATAAAATACATGATTCTGACCTTAATTTAGACACATTTATATGGTTGAGCTCAGGCAGAATTATTCATTTTAAGCACTGCCATTATAGTAATTACAACTCTCGACGCCTATGTTTATCTACTGTTCAAGTTGATTAAGTAAAACATCCAGTTATTTCTCAAGAACAACATTTTAATCACCTCAATTAAAATGATAAAAAAAAAGAACAAGCTTCTTTCTCATTACTAGTGTATCAATGTAATTTCCCAAAAGCTGCGAGGTTCCTTAGGCTGTAATTTGCAGTTGATTTTAGTCTTACTGTCTAATGAAATGGTTTAAATATAGTGGCACATTTTTTGTTTTGACGTGATTGCAAAATCTCAGCCTGAAGGTTGAAACAAATGCTGCTTTCGGGATGAATGGTTTGTTCTGGTTTTGTTCCCCAGCTTGGCTACAGTCAAAACCAACCTGAGGTTTCTTTGTTGTTCGTCTCTTTCGTTTCTCAATAAAACTAAAACACAAGGTAAGTGGGGCGTGGCCCTTCAAAATGCTATTAAGATAAGGTCAGTGTTCGGTTTTCCAGTGAATGCACATGAATCTCAGACAGAGTTATCACAGAGAGAAGTGTGTGTGTTGAAACGAGCATGTGAGCCACTCTCTCTCGGTGGAGTATCTTCCATTACGTCACCGTACTAAATTATATACACCACCACGGGCCACGATAACGTCGTTAAAAGCGATGTGAAGTCACTCTTGTCCCCCATTTCATCTCTCCATCTCACTATCTTCTCTTCAGTCCTCTTATTGCCTCGTCTCTCCTTTACTCTGCCAATATCCCTTTCACTCTTTTTGCCATATCCTCTTCTTTCACCGCACTGAACATCATTTCAATTCCCTTTCATGACATGCAAACATGAAGCCACTTTGGCAAATGTATGCATAAAAACGCTGATCCTTATCAACACAGACAAAGCAATCTCAATCTCTTCTCTAGGACCAGAAATAAAAGGTGATTTTGAATAACATGCAACCAAGTGAAGCTGCAAAGGGAACGTTGGGGTAAAGCTACGGGTTATAGAGAGTTACCAACAGACTGGAAAGACAGAAACGCCAAGCGACAGAGGTCTGGAGACGAAACTCTAACGCTGTCAGAGTATCTTAACCAACCCAGTTCATATCTGACTCAGTGGGTTCAGAGCTGTCCGAAAACAAACGCATGCACAACTCTTCAACCACAAAACCACACTGCGGCCTGAGAGGAGTTAGAGGATTTGCCGTAGATCCCTGTCAGATGCCGACTTGGAAAAGAGACGGGTTGAAGGCAGTCTCAGAGGAGGGATCTGATTTCTACAACACAACAACTCCTCCAAGTGATTAAGAGTTCTCCTCCCAGGTGGCCAGCAGACTCTGGTTAGAGAGCGTCTGACAGTGAGCTCTAGCAACAGTGAGTAAAGGACATGTACAAGAGAAAAGGCTGAAGGAAATGTGCATCCATGAGATTTGCAGGGATTTTCATTCAAAGCACTAAAGCAATGCTCACTGGTTTGTTGAAAGAGAGAGTGGCTCTGTGGGTGGAGGTAGTTGGTGCCATTACAGAAGATGAACATGTGCATTGGAAAACATTTTGTTCAGAGGATCAGTCAACTACAACTCTTGAATGGTGAATATCGTCCAATAACCTAGCTTAGATTTCTGCTGCATGCCCTTAGTAGTTGTGGTTACATCATTCCTCTTTATAGCAATGGTAGCTGAAACATTTGTGTCACAGTAAACTCAATGAAATTAATGAACCATTTAGTCAAAAGCAACTATTTAGATAGCTAAATAATAATAATAATAATAAATCATTTAATTTCAAAGCGCTTTTCCAGGTGCTCAAATACGCTTTACAGTGGTTTGATAAAACATGATAACATTAAAACAGCAACACAGCATAATTCACAGATTAAAAGCCAGTCTGAAGAGGTGTGTTTTGATCAGTGTTTTGAAAGTGGGGGGGTCGGTGATTACTGATTGAGCTATTACTGAGCTACTGATTCCAACTCTTGAATGGTGAAAATCAGCCAATCAGTAGTTATGGTTCCATCATTCCTCTTCATAGCAATGGTAGCTGAAACGTTTTTGCTACAGTAGCCCACAAAACTGAATGAAATGTATGAATCATTTAGTCAAGCCAAAAGGTAATTGGAAACTATTTAGAAAGCTACGGATTCATTATAGAATGTTTTTCATGGCAACATTGGCAAACATCCTCTGGTTCCAGCTTCTCAGAAGTAAGTCTTTGATGCGTTTCCTACTCGAATGAAAGCAAATTGAATACCTTTAAGGTTTGTACTGTTGAACATAAAAGAAGCAACATGAACGTCACCTTGGGCTTTTAGAAACGTAAGAAAAGGAGAAATATCATTGACATAAGTAATCACTAGTTGCAGCCCTTGTTGTTGTGTTTAGAGCTATTTGCCATTTTGACAAACTGGTGGAAGAAATGGGTCTGAAAATAATAATATCTTGTGGCATAAACACAATAACGTAAACCTACAGGAGACTTCTGTGTTTCTGAGGAGGTTTTGAAATGAGAATATATTTCCATTTTATTCTTAAAATTAAAGGGCCCGTGTCATGCTTTTCCGGTTATTACCCGTCCCCTTGTGTGTTATGAAGGTTTTTATGCATGTAAACGGTCTGCAGAGTCACAAACCCTCAAAGTACACCCTGTAGCGAGTACAACTCTAACACAGTCTATGCTGCCCCAGAACGCCTCGTTGGAGATTTTCCATTGTTTGCTTCCTGGGTTCTGTGACGTGTGAATACCCAAACAACAACAAATGACCGGATTGGCCCAAATGGACCAATCGACTTTAATACACTACTCTATAAACTGAACTGAACATAACTATGAGGGATCTTTTTTAAATCTCTATGTGATAAATATTGTGATTATATCCACCCGGACACAACTCAAATATAAACAGTTGTATCACATAGAGATTTAAAAAAGATCCCTCATAGTTATGTTCAGTTCAGTTNTAACGCAGCTGATAACGTCGTACTGTCCGCACAGCAATAAAATATCTGGAGCTATTTTGACACTTACTGTTTCAGGCAATAGTTTTAGACTTGTTTCCAACAACAGATCCCCGTTTATAAACACTCTAGCCCCCCCCAATCATTAATAACCTGCATTATGTATTTGAT